TTTTTTTTTTCTATTTAGGTTCTTCGAAAAATTCTGTTATAGGTAAGTTACCATTAGAAATCAATATTTCGTTTATTTTCTGTTTAGATGCTTCGATACATTCTATTCTTGGTAAGTTACAATTTAAAATGAATAACTTTTTTATCTTCTATTTAAGTTCTTTCAGAAAATTCTATCGTTGGTAACTTACCATTATAAATGAAAAATCTGTTGTTTTTCTATTTAGGTTCTTGGAAAAATTCTGTTATAGGTAAGTTACCATTAGAAACAAATAATTCCTTTATTTTGTCTTTTAGGTTTCACCAAGAATTCCATTACTGGTAAGTGATGATTGGAAATATATTTTTCGTTTATTTTCTGTTTAGGTGCTTTGAAGAATTCTATTGCCAGTAAGTTAGAATTTGAAATAAATAATTTCTTCATTTTCTGTTTAGGTTTTCTGAAAGGTCCTCTTATTGGTAAGTTACCATTAGAAAAAATTAACTGGGTCATTTATTTTTGTGTTTAGGTTGGTGGAGGAAATGTATTGTTCGGAAACAACGATTTGTGCTATTAATTCGAGTAGTTTCCATGAACGCTCTCATCACAGTTGCATCTATTTATTTTCATTTAAAAAAATAGATTTTTTTTTGATAATACTCCAGCCGAAAAACATTATCCTTTGTATCTAGTATTTGAAAATGTAACATTTTGTAGTGACTTGTGTTCGGATTAATAAGCAGTATAGTCGATTGCTTGGTACTGGAGATTATCTTCTTGGAAAAGATGTGTTTGCAAATGGATATCAAAGAGTATGCCCTTAGATAATGGCGCAAAACTGCTTGCATACTTGAGCATGGAATCCTGGGAATCTTTCTGCATTACTGCAGAGCGTATTGTAGACAATTTGAGGGAGAAAACTCATTTTATTAGAGATCATAATACCGTCTTTTACGAAACCCCATTTGTACGAAACCGAAAAGGGTTTCGATTTCGTTGCAAAAATCGGAACCTTTTTGGGTTCCGTAGAACACCTTTTTTTTTTTCAGTGTAAGGTATATTAGTGGGTATGTTAGTTGCATTAACCCTTCAAGGGTTTATGAAGACATATATTGCTGGATACATCAGCTTCATCAACTCCTTCCAGGGTTTATCCTAAGGTATATTAATGAGTGTATAATTGCCTCAACCTTTAGAGTTTATGATGAGGTATATTATTAGGTATATTACTTTCATCAACTCCTTCAAGGGTTTATGAAGGCGTATATTAAGGGATATATTGGTTTCATCAACTCCTTGCAAGGTTTATGCTGAGGTATATTAACGGGTATATTCATTTCATCTACCCTTTCAAGGGTTTATGCTGGGATAACTTGACCGGTATATTAGTATCAACAACTTCTTGAAGGGTTCATAAAGACGTACATAAATAGGTATATTAGCATTATGAACTCCAAGAAGGGTTTATGGTGAAGCATATTGAGCGGTATATTAGCTCCATCAACTCGTGCGAGGGTTTATGACGAGTTATATTACTGGATGTATTGGTTTCATCAACTCCTTGAAGAGTTTATGAAGATGTATATTAAGGGATATATTAGTTTCATCCAGCGTTTCCAATAGCAGGTGTACATCCTTTGTCTGTACATTTTGTACATTTTGCAAAACAAAGAAAATCCTTTGTTTGTACACTCTGAGTCATCGTTCCATTGGAAACACTGGTTTCATCAACTCCTCGAAGGCTTCATGGCGGGGTATGTTAAGAGATATTTTAGTTTCATCAACTTCTCCAACAGTTTGTACTGACTAATATTAGCGAATATGTTATCTCGATGAACTACTGCAACAGTTTCTACTGAGCTATGCCAAGATATGTGTTGACTTCGATTCTGAAGTTTAGGCTACAAGACAGAGGATATTGAACGGCATTAGCACATCTAAACTATTGGGAGGCTTTATGCCAAGCTGGGATGCACCAGGAAAGTAAAGATGATAATCTGATGGAGAAGGTTCCAAATGATTGTCAATCGTTGCTTCAATTGGAATCAATTTTTAGCTTTTTTGGAATGGAGAGGTTCACTGTAAACGTCAATGGTATGCAAAAATCTACTTATTTGATGAAGAGATTTCTTGTCGAATATGAGAAGTGAGGTAAATATGATGTGATAACATTAACAATCTAATCGTATCTGTATGAGAAAAGAAGCGAAACTAGAAGGACTAAAGACAAATTTTTGATAAAATAATTTAAGAAGACAAAAGAAAGGGGAAAATAACAATTTTCTATAGAAAATTCTCAAAAGCTTTTACTAGAACTAGTGACTGAATATTCAGTGAACCATAAAAAAATATAAAAGAAGAAGTTGAAATGATAACTGTAGTTAATACTCTGGACGAATCTGTTTTTTGACGAACAAAACAAGCGAAACTGGAAATAAGAGAGATGGCATCTAATCATAGAGCCAAGCCTTTATTTACCAAATCAAAGTGTCATAAATCCGTTGAAAATACAAAACAGGATTGCTAAAAGAGAGAAGATAATTACTATTAAACAAATTTGTTACAAATTATTACTGAGCATTCCCAACAAGGAAGATTTAATAATTAAACAGATGCAGGACATTTCCGAAAACTATATCCAAATCG